CGGGAGGGCGGAAGCGACGTTTATTTTTTGCGCGGCGAAGGGGTGATGGCGGCGCTCGCGGCGGCTGGGCGGCGGCTGGGCTGGTGGGCGCCTCCGCGGCGGCTCCCTGCTGGTCTGTTCCCTTCCCTTCCCTTCCCCGTTTCCGTTCGTGCTGCGGCGTTGCGTAAGCCTGCGCCCGCTGGTGACCGTGTTGTGTTTTCGTGCCGCAGCGCTGTTGTGGGGAAGGAGGTGCAGCTCCGGCCGGGAGGAGGTGTCGGCCCAAGCGGATCGGGTAAGGCTGGCTCTGACCTGCAAATGGCTCTCGAGCGCCTGTCTCCCGGCTCTCTTGCAGCTGGCTGTAGTCCCCTCCGCTTGGAGGGCGTCTGGTAAAGCAGTAGGGAAACCTGCTGAAGTTTCCCCTTTGGCTTTTGTGCGTCTGGGTGTCTTGGCATACAGTCGTGTAACACGGAGCTGGAAGTTAGTGCTCAGAAAGACTTACTGTGCGCTAGTGATGAAAGGGGCCAAAGCAGAGAGAGTGCAGTGTCTTGACCTTTCAAGTGCACTGTCTCAAGTAGCTTTCCCTCTCAAGCTGTGTGTTTGCACTATTCCTGCAGGTGGCTCTGAAGAGTTTTTGAAGTGCTTGCTTGGTGTGGTTGTTGGATTTCCTTACCTATGTTTCATAACACATCTTCTAAAAAAATTCTATGTGCAACTTGTTTTTATATCACTGGAAGGGTTAACTTTTTCCCTTGCCTGTTGTTGTTCTGACTTGGTGGCAGGTGTGTACTGAGGGGAGCTTTCCAGGCCTCCAGAAACTTTTGAAAACCTCCTTTTATGAGTGTGCTAGTGGATGGGAGTTCTTTTCTTGGTTTGTTTGTACTAAATATGTAAAAATTCTCTAAAGTCAAACTGAAGAAAGCTCTCCCAAATAGGCAGATGACACTCACTGATTATTGCAGGTTTCTCTAGATCCTCACTGTTATACTCAGGGCTGAAGTTGAATCTTTCTGACCACTACAGTGGGTGGATGCTGCTGGTGAGTTGGGGGATTTTGTAGGTTTGTTTTGATCAAATGTACATGTCCCGAGGCCTGTGTGAGTTGTTCACCTTCCTTAGGATACAGAGGGGGCTGCGTTGTAGTGAAAAGAAAGTTTCCTTTTGGAGTGCCAGGTATCAGTGTGCCTGAGGACCATATATAAGCAGGCTTTTTGCCTTTGTGATCAACATTTAAAGTTTTTCTAGAGCACTACATTTTCTTCTTGGCTTTAGGGAGTACTTTTTAATTTTTGAAGGCACAAGGGAAAATAATAGGAAATACTGATGTTGCAAAGTTGGGATGTTAATAGTTGTCTGATTTCAGCCAATAGAAATGGAAAATCCCTATAAAGAGCCTCCTAGAAGATGTGTCTTATGTGGAATAAATGTAGACTACAAGAATGTGCAGGTGAGTTTCTTTGAAATATCTGCTTAAATCATCAAGGTGGCTCTTTGGTTTACTCTGAAGTAGAGGGTGAAAAGTCTAAGGAAAACAACTGGAGAGTTCGAGGCTAGGTGTAGGGGTGGTCTAAAACGTCAACAGTGACAACAGCTGTGTATAAGGGCAATAACATCAAATAATGTAAATGCAACAACCTGTTCAACCTGATAATGCTGAATGTTTTTTATAACTGGCACTTACTCAATGCTCAATTCTAGTATAAATAACCTCATTCTCCTTAAAAATGATGGCCTGTGGTTCTGTGAGAACAGATTGATAAAGGAAAATATAATAGTACTAGAGTGAAACCAGTTGAATAAAAGCTAAAGCTTTTTAGAAACTCACACTGACCTTATTTTTTAATAGCTTCTGTCACAGTTTGTTTCTCCGCATACTGGTCGCATTTATGGCAGGCACATAACAGGTATGTAGAACACTTAACTCATTCAATTTTGTTTAGTCCATGTTAAGGCTGTTATGTTATGTTGCACTTCCATATCAACTATCTTTCTGAAAGTGACTAGCAGCTGTATACATATTTTTTAAAAATACTGCTGTTGGTAACATTCATAATCCCAGAATGAAAATATTCCATAATTATATGCTTTTCTGTAGCTTAACAATTTGTATAAGCAGATGTGTTTTTGAGGGAGACTTAAAGTAAAAGAAATATCCTTTTTTCATTCCTTAAACTGTTTGGTTATTATGCAAGTGGAAGTTAAAAATGTTTTATCTACACAGGTTTGTGTAACAAGAAACAGAAAGAGATCACAAAAGCTATTAAAAGAGCTCATGTATTTGGTAAGTATAAGTATGATTTGAGTCTTGTTTTAGGTCAAATTTTATTTTTTATTAATAAGAAACCCTCGATCTTGTTTTCTTACAGGATTTATGCCAGTAATGTATAAGAACCCATCATTTCTTACAGACCCCAAGATCTGTAATGTCAAGTATCCCGAGTAATATTTACTGCAAAGAAATGAACAATAAAACTATCTTTAATTACTGTCTATATATTTTTTCCAAAAAATGTGGTTGGCTGGCATAAAACATCTCTGGAAGGAGATGTCAGTTTTTTATGGAGTGTTGAGTCTCTGCGATAGAAGGAAGTCTGAATGCTAAATGTTGTAGCGGAATCCTTAACTGTATGGCCCTCCTCTTAGGAGGTTTCCCTAAAGTTCAAACCAGAACAGCTTTTTTATTTGTTGGATTGGAAGGGGGAGAAGCTAATGGAGTACTGGATACCTAAGGATAGGTGGAAGTACGTAAATTGTGGTGATATGTAAACAGTAACTTCTGTTATGTTACCTGGGTTGACTTGTTACTCTTTGTAACACCTTCTGCTGAGAAGAAGCCTATCCAAGGCATGGTATTGGTTTTCCAGTGGTAGCTTGAAGTTGTATCCTTCTGAGGCAGTATGTGACATGTATTGCTGCTTTTACCCTACTAGTGTGGTATTTAAACCCTGAGAGAGAGAAAATGGACTTAACTCTGGAAGGCAAAATGAGGGAATGTGATCTGGACTCTGCTCTGTATATGCCAAACAGGATTCATGCATTTCAAAATAACTAAATGCTTTAAAAACTCAGTATGTCATTTTTATCCCTGCAGTACTAAAATTGATAGGAGATAGTTCTAAAATTCTGGCAGTACCTTTTGGTGCAGTTGTAGTCATGTGGACAAATCACTGAGCTAAGTGATCAGAAAGTGGGAGAGTGTGGATATTCAGTTGTCTCTTTCAGTTTTTCTAACACTTCCTCATCTGTTTCGGTACTACTCAGTGTAAGCTTCCTTTCCTGGTCACTTTCTTCTTGGTCTTGAAGTAATTTTTGGTGAAGCTGCAGTGATCTTGATTTCTTGAATGATTTTGGTCCTGCTGTGGTCCCTCTGACCTTACGCTTGGTTAATTGTCTTGTTTCCGCTTCAGTGAAGTCTCTTTCCTCTACCATGAGAGTCAGTTTGTCTACAATGTTAATATTATGGTCAGTGTTACAGCAGTTCTTAAATATCTGTCTGCCTTTTAAGGAAACAATACATGTCTGGAGTCCAGAATCGGGGAAAAAGGTTTGCAAAGCCTGACAAAGGAAAACATTCTCCTTTGGCTCTCCCGGGTGATTTTTGTCCTCTCCTGAAAAACAAAGGTCAGAGTTTCAGTCCTGCTTGCACATACTTATCTGTACTGTTTTGGTTACACCTGAAGCTCTGGGAGGGCTTTTAAAATAGCTTTGTTTCTGTCAGTGAAGTTAACTGTGCAAGTCTTGGAGACCAGCACTGGATTAATTGAACTTACCCACAGAATCTGTGTGTTGCTTTTTTCTCTTTATTTCTTCTTTTAAATGGCTCACTTCTGCTAAGAGCTTCTCTACAGATCGTTCACTGACCTCTACAGTAGAGCATATGTTCTGCAAGGACAAGTCCATTCTATTAAATAGCTGTTTTCACAGAATTTGTGACTTCAACCTCTTGGCAAACGGCTTAAAGATACTTTGCCCAGCTTTTAAAATTAAGAGTATTAAGAAGCTGCAATAATGGGTTTGGACCGCCTCTTTTTGAGATTAAGAATTTTAACCTTGCCTTGAATGAAGTGTAACATGTATTCACTTTCTCCTTCTCCCAAAGAGCTGGAGTGAACTACAGAAAGTACTCCCTAGATAATCCTCTTTGATAGTCTTTGCAATTCTATTAGTAAACTTAACCTTCGCCCAAATGGAAAGTTGCCTTGCACAGTGTTACAGCTTCCTCTGAGAACTCTCCTTTACTGTTTGTGGATGTGTGCTCAACTCATTTGCCTTTGAATGTACCCCTCTAAGACACTAGGCTTATGTCTTAGTGCAGGATGTTTCAGCCTGTTTGATATCTGTTTAATACTGGTGAAAATATCTGTACAGGCAGGTAAGCCTGACTTACCTTCAGTTCTTCCTGCAAGGTGGCATACATTTCATTAATCTTATGAACCTCTTGTAAAGACCCATCTTCATAAAAGAACTCAGACCTTTAGACAAAGAATTAATTGAATAATTGAAAATGAATGATCCCAGTGCTTGCTTAGGAGCTATACTGTGGAAAGAAGCATGTCAAGTCTCTTGACTCTTCTCATCTTAAATTAGCTGTCCCTAACTTAAGCTACACTTTCTAAAGCTGATCTTGCAGCAGTGATGTGGAAAATGGATTAACTAGAAGGGAAACTGACTCTACTGGCCAACTAATAAAATTAAAAGGGAGAAGAACAAAACCTGGACCTTTAATTTCAGGTAAGAAATCTTGCATGCACTGCATATGTTGACAGTCCACAATTCAGTGGACTAAGCAAGGAACTCTGATACACTGGATCTCCTAGCTGCCATGACACAGGTATCCCTGTGGTGGATACATAATACTGTTGGGTGGCTCAGCCCTAGAAGTTCTATGATGACTGAGTTACTTTCCAAGTATCTAGTTCAAGTCTAATGGCAGAAACTAGGGCAAAAAGTGAGCAAGGTATGTAGCATTTGCTGAAGTAGTTAAACTTGGGAGGCTCTTCAGCTGGATATCAAGGAACAAGGTTTTTGTGTGAAAAAATTCACTTATACTCATGGTACTTTAGCTACTTCTGCAGAACTGTTGCATGGGTTAGGCCATGTGGTTATGCTGGTTACTTACTGGTCTGTATCAAAGCAATTCAGGTAGAACATCACTAGGTTTACATTCTACTATGTGAGGCTGAAAATGGTGATAAATTAGTTCTTGCCCATAACTTGTGTGAAAGCTGCATAGAGAAGGCATATATTGTACCTGTGTTGCCTTACTGCTCTCACAAAGCCAGCAGATATACAGGAACCAGACACCGTTCTGTAGCCCTGCTGTTCTGCCATACCCAAGTTAGTAACCACTAGAGGAACTTTCTGAAAAAGACTTAAAAAGCAGAAATATGAAAACATACTATATTAACGTTCAAAAGCTCTCAAAAGCAGTGAAAGTTTCCCTGCCATAAACATCACAGGTTCTCAGTATAATTCCTGCTAAGCTTACTGTATATCACTTTGGCAATTGATGTATGACTAAACAAAGCAAACTTCAAAAGAGGCTAAGAATTTCAGACATGCCTCTGTAGGACTTTCCCCTGCTTCTGGATACAATACTTGCTTGTTAAACCCACTCTTATCAGCCTGTCTTAATACCTCCACAAAGTCAACTGAAAGTTGCCCCTGACTTCTAACACTAAAGAGTGTAAACATGAATACTAAGCATAGATTTGCTATTGTGAGTAGGAGTTGCATGGTAACTGTTCTTGATTGCTTACGTATGAATGAAGTGACAGTTTCTGCCTGCTTACGCTGGTGTTGCAGGTGGTTATAAAGGCCCTAGGTGAAAGGCTTCAACCCTGCCTATTAGAAGGGCTCCACCCGTACAAGGGATAACCTTCTCTGGTGTGTAATAGTTTCAAGTGTAAAATAAACCAGCATTAGCAGTAATTCAGTCTTAACTAGTATGAAAATTGAATTGTTCCAAGTCATAGCATATGCAGTTCAACTGTTCCATTTAAACTACAAAAACAAATTACCCCTCTTGCGGTCGGTGTAAAGCATGTTCCAGTCTGTAAGTAGAACAACTTTCTGTCATCACGCTGGAAGTTAATAAAAGGAACACAAGACTGGGATTTGACAAGTGTGACTGTAAATTCTTGTGAAGAAGTCTTTCTCGGAATGTCATTGTCTGGTCTGTATTGCGTCTGAATCTGTACCATCCTATTATGCTCTGCAGACAAGAGAAAATTGATTAGTTCCTCTTGAAGTATTCTGTCACTGTGTGCTATATTCAAGAAAAATTGTAGGATTTGGTACAGAGTCCTGAATTTGAAGTGTTTGGTGACAGGTACATGTTCAAGCAGATACTTAACCTCAAACCCCAAAAAATCTAATAATTAGTAATTTTACTAAGGCAACTTCCCTCTATCAAAAGTATTGAATTAGCCTGTTTTCCAAGCCTGTGCTCGACACTGAAGTCTGCAAACTTTTCCCCTACTTACCCATTTATCCTTTTCCAGCTTCTGCTTTCTTTTTGAGGAACTTTTCCACAGAGAAGACAGTATGTTTTAGGTGCTGCATGGCCATTTCAGCAGGCTAAAGCATTATCCCCTCAGCTGAAAGCTTACCTCAAATGATGTTTACTTAAAAATCATAAGAGCTTCTTTGAGGCATTTAAATTGCTCCCTTGAAAAATGAATAGGAAAAGTGAAGTTGCAATACATACAGAGGCATACCCTTGTCCACAATTCCACTAAATGGATACTGTTCTTCAGGGGGAAAAAAGAGGTAACTGTCTTGACCAGCAATGTGAAGTATGATGTACAACAGATGAGACCCAAAAGATACCCAGTCACCCCGGAAAACCTGAACCAGCTTCTTGGTATGGGTTAGGTTTGAAAGTTACCTTTTTGCAGCCTGATAATATTTTCTTCAGGGCAGGTTCATTTAGTTCTCCTGCAGAATTATAAAAGCTACAAGAAAATTAGAATGATGAGAGTAAAAATGCTACTCTGACAAATAATTATCCCCAGTGGTCTGGCAGTTATCCTATTTATAAGCTTATGGGGGAGGGGGGAAGCTATTTAAGACGTGCTGGCACCCCCTCTGTGGTGTGGCTGTGTGCAGTTAGTGTCATTACTGACTGACTGCTCAAAAAATTATGTAGGTGGTCTTGTACAGGCCATGTGCTGCTCCACCATCAATGCTACTGGAACACAATCAACTTTATGGTACGATGTACTTGTACTGTGGTCAACTACAACATAGTAAGATGTCTTCAGTTTGATATGAAACACCTTCCTAAGGCAGTCTGGATTTATTTCAGAAAGGTTTTTACCAAATTAAGTTGATTCTCCCCTTATTGTATAAGCCTGTACAGCTGTATTTCTAATGTGACTCTGTATTAGTTCTTGAAACTATTTTTAACAGAGGACTAAAAAATGCTCCTTCTGGCCCACCTTGAAACCTCAGGCTGATACTATATTTTTTTGTGAGGGTGAGAAGTTGGGATGTATGCTTTAAGGGAGAAAGTGCCCCCCCTAGAAGGTGGACCATAAATTCTGAAGTTCGTATGGTTTCATAGCTCAAGAGAAAGTGTGGCATACTATATTTCTATATGCATAGACAGATACCTATAAAAAGGCATGTAACACTAAAATAGGAGCATGATTAATATTTTACACCTCTACTTTCAAGGGGTTGATGTAGCAGCCTTTGTTCTAGCTGCATGATTTTGTCAATAATAGGAATTTAATTCTTAAGAGCTAAAATTAGGGTTAATGCTGAATTTTTCCTATCTGTTTACTTCAGATCCTCACCTGAACAGCTGGTAGCATGGAATATGCTTCTGTATATCTGAAAAGAGAAACTAGTATTATTGTGGGTTCATCTGCTCAAGATATGGTCTCCTGTAGACTATCATTATTAGAATTCAACTTTGTAAGGGCCAGGGAAGGTTTCTATACAATGTTGTTCCTTAAAATAGGATGTACTGACATCTACTTAAATAAGGTTAAGAAATATGGCTTTTCAGAAGTCTGTAGTTCCCTTTCAAAAGTAAAGGGAAACCACCTATGTAAACTGTGGTGGTTCCTTTTTGCATAATCTTTTCTCCGGTTTAAGTGAAAAACTGAATTTGGCACTGTTTTCCCCTCCCTTCTGTCAAGTACAAGGGTAATAATATGAAACACTAAAACTACTTTGCGCTCTTCAGCAGAGCGTGGATGTTAGCAGGACAGGTGAGGCTGGAGAACAGAAGCCCTCAAGGTAAATGATGAACAGGAGATTGGAGAGAAAAAGACAGCTGATCTAATGCCATTCAGGATCCTTTTCTTGGCCCTAATTCTCCACTATTTTTGTTTTTACAAATTAATTAAAAATAACCATGGAGCAACTAAATGAGTATGTGAGACTGTGTAACTTCATCAACTACACAAAAGAGTCCCCAAACTTCTGGATCAAATCAGCAATGAGACTCTGGAGAAAAATGGTATTCCTTAATTGTGTCTCAGAGTCAAACTGGAAACTGAGGGGCAAATGCTCCCCATCTTTTAGAAAGGTCAAAAAGAAGGCATGTGTTCTGTCATCCTGTTCTTCTTGTGTGACTGTTTTAAAGGAATGAATTTATGTGTATATGTGTGCACACGCTTGTTTTAGGGCTAGTGTGAATAACACCTCTACTCCAATCCTGTGGAAAGTATAAGGGGAAATGCCTCTGGCATCTGCTCAACAACGAAATACTTAAGTAGTTTTGTGCAGTGCCATACGTTATTTAAAAAGACTGAATTATGTAACAAATGTGTTAAAACTCATCACTGAAAAATGCTAGGCTTACTCAGGGCAAATGTAGCCCAGGAGGATTCAAGTGATGTGGCTAAGAGGAAAAGGGAGTCTAAGCCAGAAGTCATCTTTACTGTAACAACGCGTTTGGAAAAGAAGAGCCATTGAAGGGACTAAGAACTGGTACTTCCATTAAATTATTAGATCTTTCTACATTAAAATTATAATTTTCCAGCTGTTGAACTGTTCCAAAATCTGTTTTCACACCTGTGTTGACCTCAAGATCTAGTATTGTTAACTTTCAGAACGTTTTTCTTGCCCTCATTCAGAACTATAAGCATATATGTAAAATTTTCTGAAACCAGGTGCAGCATTCGAAAACTGGACTAACCAATTGTATAAACAACTTCAACATCATCCATTTGTGAGTCAGTAATGCTGTTCTTGGCTTCGCCTTTCACATCTCCAAGGAGGAAACCTTCCTTTAACAGGGGAAGAGAGAAGAACAGTTAACATGAACGTTTAACAGTGGTTTTTTTCTATGGCTAATATTAATAGTGTAAAGTCTGCCCTGGGGAGGGGAGTGATTCTCAGTCAACTGTTTTTAGACAGAGGAAGTTATCATTCTTTAGGTACTTAGCAAAAGAGGTCCCTATTCGGATGTTTTTTTTGCTGCCTTCTCTCTGTTTTTACTCAGAAGTGGACAGTTTGGGGCTTGACCTTTAATGTCCACTTCAGAGGCAGAAGCCAAAATGTCTGACAAGCCCCTGGGGAAGCAATACTACTAGTCCTGCACCATGTTATTTTGCCACTGACTTTTAGTAGTTTCAAAAGCAGCAACAGTTTTCTGGCGTTACTCAGCGCTGTAAGCAACCTAAAATGAAACACCTTATAGGGAGGGATGAGTATAATGTAAATAAACTAAAATGCAGAGCAGATGTGCACGGATGAGGCACAGCTGCGCCTGAATCTCGGTCCCCATGATACAGGCTCACAACACTGCCAAGC